TATATATATATATATCAATTAGAAAGGATATAAAAAAAATAATGTCCTATTAATGTTTTTTCCCACATTTACCCAAATCCCGTCCCCTACCCACCCTTGTCTAAATCATCTCATCCGTACAAATAATAGATGTAACTCGACGCGTGAAGTGGGCGATCGAGTGTACACGAGAATGAATGGTTCGGTGGATCAAAGAGCCGGGAGTAACGAGCGTGGGGTGGTACTGGACACCAATGATCCAGGAAGTTGGTCAAGATAGAAAGATAGAAAGAGTGAGAGAGAGAGAGAGAAAGAGAGAGATGGCAGAAGGAGTTGAAGGAGAAGGAGCAAAGTGCCGATAGGAGGAAGGTGGAAAGGAAAAAAAAGAAGAGGGAAACAGGATGGTCGTATCCATCCATCGCCTCATAAAAGGGCAGAATAACGTCCGCGCAGATGGGATGTCAATACAGTAACGGCAGGAGCAGCAAGCACAGGCCGACGATGGTTCTTTGCGGGGTTTTACCCGGCCGGTTACCGTGGCAACGGAACACCCCTCTCGACAGGCTCCTCTACGTCGCACCCCTCTCACTCCGGTGCCAAGAGGAGGATATATACCTAGGATGCGTATTATTCTTAATAACCCCCGTGTGCCGTGGCGCTGTATTATGACTGATGTTGACTCTAAGCGCGCGGAGAGAGAGAGCTACGGCGATCGATAGGCCGCCATACGGTCGACTATACTACGAATCCTCAACATCAGCAAGAGGGAAAGGATAGAAGAGGAAGAAGAGAGAGAGAGAAAGTGACGATGTTGGTCCGGAGGAAAAAGATAGAAAAGAGGTAGGGAGGGGGGCAGGGAAGGCGGTTGTAGGTTACTTGAAACACGACTTCAGAAAAATATAAGTATCTTCTGCCTTGATTGCACGGATCTCTCTCGCGAATCGAAAAGAGAGTTCCCTCTCTCACTCATTCACTCACTCTCTCTCTCTCTCATCAGAAGAAGAAACAAGAAGAAGTCGAACTCACGAATGTTTCGCTAAGAGAGGAAATAGCAAGCCGAGTAAGTACACGCGAGATTATTTTCAAGGATTCTTGATCTTTTAGGTCGGGGGGAGGGAGGGGGCACATTTTGTGGTTGCGCTATCACGAACCAACCGAAAGGGGGAATAAAGAAGAGTAGACCACCGATGGGAAATGCAAATCAAAAGAGAAAGAGAGAGAGAATCTTCTTCCCTTTCTTGGAGTAAAGTAAATTTTAATAAAATTTAAATATGATAAAAATGTGCAGCATGGGCCATTGTGAATACTCCTTTTTATATACGTAACTTTTATAATGGAAAACTACTAATGACGTAATCATATACGATCGAGACGCGGAAGTTTCGACTACTCGTCTCTCCCATAAAAAGGAATAATAAAAAAAAATCCTTGATAGAACGATCGTCGTCGTCGAATGATAAAACATCGTGTTGACACTCTAATATTTCTTTCTTTTCTTAAATCAGTATATATGGTTGGTTACCTTGCGCGTTAAAACGATAATTCAATGAAATTATCTCTCTCTCTCTCTCTCTCTCTCTCTCTCGCGTCAGAGGAAATTGGAAAGTTTTTTTCAAACAGGAAAAAAAAGCAAAGTTAGCAAACCGATATAGTAAAGCTTAAAGTGAGAACATTACACTCTCTCTTTCATTTGCACGCATCGCCACGTATAAACCAGCAGCAGCAGCAGCAGTGCGGCATACGCACACACACGAAATGAGAGGTTCGCGTGTACGTACGTACGCACTTACTTACTTACTTACTTACTTACACGCATACACATACACACACACACATTAGTACGCTACGCCTCGCATCATTCGTTTGTTGCGCAGTTTTCGAGGTCACCTCAAGTTCATCATCGATAATAGCACCAGGCGAAAACAAGCAGCTAGACCTGGGCGTCCACCGATAAAGTGTACGCTACTACAGATAACAAATTCCGTCTGATTCGATTCAGTACGAACTTTCGTTCTACGGCCTTGACAACAGCCGCGCCACATCCACCCCGCTCCCCCCCGCCCGTCCCCACCGTCATTGGCCCGGCCCAACCCGTTAGCACTAATCAAATTGCTAATGCGCTCGCACTCTTTCTTTCTGGTGTGTAATAGCGACCAAAAAAATTCGCACCGAGTGAATGGAACTCGAACGAGAGAGACAGAGACAGATAGATAGATAAATAGATAGTGACAGAGAGAAAGAGAATGGAAGGGGGAGAAGAGTTAAGAAATGAGGGAAATAAAAGATTCAACTTAGAGTAGGTGAAGAGAGAAGTGTGAAGGAAGAGGGTGGGAAGAGAGGAGAGGTGTAGGAGGAGGTGTTGGAAGATGAGGAGAATACCGGGTAAACAAAACCTGTGCAAGCAATTCGTGTCACGTTGTCGGCAGAAAGCAACGAATTCATAAATTGTTTCTTTTAGTCAACTATAGATGGCGTTGCAAATTCAATGACCGGTAAAGAAAGAAAAAACAGCTGATTTTGAAACGATTACGCAATTAGAGCTTTTTTGCGAACGTCCGAATGATGGTCGAAATATATCGGTACTTTTAGAAATGTAAGGTATGATATTATAATTCGATCGAGTATGATATTATTAGCAGACATGTTGGAGGACTTGCTAGTCAAAATAATAAAAAAAAAAATTTCAATGAAGTTTAGATAAAAAATGATTAATCTTGTAATTTCTATTCACAGATTTTTATAGAAGATAACATTAATTAGTATTGAAAATAAAACTAAATGAAACGACTAAACGATGTGAAAAAATATTAGGGGTACCGAAAAGTAATGGCGTTACTACGCATGTCAAATTCTGTATAATATTTTAAATCAAAAAACCGATTGATGATTTTTATCGTTAACAATATTAAAAATTTGCATAACAGATAGAAAAAGTGATTAATTAATTAATTTAGTTAATTTAATTGATTAATAATACAAAATTGTTTAAAAAATTTATTTGTTTGAATTTTGAGGTTAAAAAGCGACATTACTTTCCGGTCCATGTAATATTTCTGAAGTAATGTTATCGTAGGATCATAAATGTAGAAAAACAAATATGGTATGGTATATACTTTTGTGTGAGAGGGTTGGTAATTATATGAAAATAAATTATTAACGATCAAAATATTGAAAGAATATCTTTTAAGATATATAATTCATAATATTAATAATCGTAATATAAAAAATAAAATAAAATAATATAATCATCGTAAAAAGTACTTTAAAAGATAATAACAAAAATAAACACAAATATATAACGCGTAATATAAATTATCAAAATGTTAAATGTAAATCGTAAAATTAACTCCAGGGAATTTCTTTTTTTGTTTTTTTTTGACTTACAATTATCCCACTATCATAATTAACCGTGGGGCCACGATTATGCACACACGTTTAAATGATCAAAACGAAAAAGTATATATATATATACATCTACTTTTCTTTAATCGTAAAAATTTGTTGTTTTTATTTTCTCTCTCTCTCTCTCTCTCTCTCTCTCTCTGCTAGTTGTCTTTTGCTATTTTTTTATTTTTTTGAAAAAGAAATATAACGCAAATAAGCTGAACACAGTGGTTCGTTGGCTCGTAACGCGATGCGATGCGACCCACCTACATCAGCACCCACCTCCGCAAGAATTTTGGTAGCGTCATTGTCAAGTGATGGGAAAATAGGGAGAGGAGAAAAGAGTGAAATATAAAGAACAACAAAA